AAGACAGCCAATGTAGTACCGTTATTCAAGAAGGGAGCAGGGGATAAACCGAGAAACTACAGTCCAGTCAGTTTAACCTCAATAGTGGAGAAACTATTGGAAGCAACTCTGAGGGACAGAATTAATCTGCACTTAAATAGTTAGGAAGCCCTTATTATTTTGAACTCTACTGAGTAAAGGCATATCCTTTTTAGCTCTTCATGATAGTCCATCCCTTCAACACATGAATCAGCCGAATGAATCACTTTTTAACTATCCCTAAGGCCAGTATATTATTTTTTAAAAAATACCAGGAAACTGGCTGGATAGGTGGGACTTTCTTCACTGAAGCATAGCAGGTTGAGAGGTGACCTTGTAGAGGTTTATAAAATCCGATAAAGCGAAAAATCTATCTATCTATCTATATTCAATCATGGATCACCCATAACCCAGTAGGGTTAAAAGTTCCAAAGACTTACTAACCTGTGTGGAAACTTCTCAGCTCAGTCCCGAATAATCGACCTGTGGTCTGTTCCCATATGTTCTAGATTCCCTAGCCAGGGGAAAGAACCTCTCAGTATCTTACTTATCAACCTCTTCAGAATCTTGTATGTTCAATTCTATCACTTCTTATTCTTATAAATTCCAAACAAATGACGCTAAATTTAATGGCATAAGAAAACAGGAACAGGAGTAGGCTATTCTACCCCACAAACATGATCCCCACTGATTAAGATCATGGCTGAATGGATTGAGGCCTCAATCCCACTTTGTGCTCCCCACCCCTGTACCATCACCACTAGTCTCAACTCCCTTGGAGATCAAAAATCTGCCTTTTATACACACAATAGCTCAGATTCCCTAGAAAACAGTGATCACAACATGGTAGAACTTAGCATTCAATTTCACAGTGAGAAATTTGGGTCCTAAACTAAAATTAGGGTATAACAAAGGAAGGAGGACAGTGTTAAGTGGAATAAACTGGGAAAAGAGTTTAGCATAAAAGAGAGCTGAGGAACAACGCTGATGTTTAAAAAGGTAGCTCATGACTCAGAACAAAAATGGCCCATTGAGCAAAAAGGATTCTAGAAAGAAGATTAATTAACCATGGTTAACCAAGGAAATTAAGGACAGCATCAAATTGAATAGAAGAAAACATAGAAAGTAGCAAAGATTAACAGTTAGCAGAGGATTTAAAAAGTTTCAAAAACCATAAAAGATTAGAGGGAAAGTTTAAAGGTGATGTGTGAGGCACATTTTTTTTTAAACACAGAGTAGGTATGGAACGTGTTTTCAGGGAAAGTTTGATTTATGAATGATTTATTGTCACTTGCATTTTACACTGAATAATAGTGATAAGCTTCATCATGACCATCCGGCGCCATTTTGAATAGCTGTAGAATAAAAACAGTAAAAAGATATAAAAAGAGTAAAAAGATATAATTGGAGGACAGTCTATCTTCATTCCGCTGCCTCCACCAAGAGTCACCATGGGTCACCAGCAACAGCTGCCCCACTATCCGTTCCGTCCTCCACCACCTCATTGCTGAGCACACCAACATAGGAATTGTCATTCTTTTGCACCATTTATTCGTCACTGGGGCCACTTCACTGATGCTGAGTCCAATAGTTAGCCTACATTCTCCTCGCAATAATCAGTCCCCAGCTCTGCACCGCCACCGCCTCGCTGATAACTAGGAGTCCCCACTCCAGCCCTACTGTAACCAAAATCAGGAATCCCTGGCTCCGCTGCCATCTGGATGACATCAGGTGTACCCGCTCTGGGCATACCACACTACCATTGTTGTGGCCACCACCTTGCCAATGCCAGGAGTCCCCGCTCTGGGCCTACTGCAACCAGGAATCCCTGGCTCCGGCTGCCCTCTTGAAGAGTTCGCTGCCATCGCCTCCGATCGCTGAAGGAGCTATGCCACTGCTGCTGGCAGCCCTGAACAAGGGCACCCTTGCTATTGCCACCTCCAACTGCTGGGAGATGATGCGCCTGTCGCTGTTGCCTCTGACCGTCAGGAAGCTGTCACCATTTCACGCATAGCCCACTCTCGCTGCCATGCCAATGCCACTGACTAACCCACCAAAGAAGAAATCAAAGGGAAAAGGACAGAAGTAAAAAGAAGAAAGAAGCAGATGGGAATGGATGAGTCCCAGGCAAGAGACTGCATGCTGCCCTGCTACTCCACCGCTATCTTGGATTTGGGAAAAATGTTAGAAGCAGATACGATAGCAATGTTTAAAAGGCATTTAGACAGGCACAAAACAGGCAGGGAATAGAGGTAGAAATAACACAATGTGGAGCTGGAGGTGCATAGCAGGCCAGGCAGCATCAGAGGAACAGGAAAGTTGACATTTCGGGTCGGGACCCTTCTTCAGAAAAGGGGTCTGAAAAACTGAATCCCCAATCAGCAGTTCTTACTATCTCTAAGGCAATAGAGGTATACAGACTATGTTTTGACAGATGGGATTAGTTTAGAATGGTATTGTGGTTGGCACAGATATGGTAGGCTGAGGGGTCTATTCCTTGCTGTACTGTTCTATGACCAAAAGATAATACAGGGCTAGAAAATAAATTTTGAGGGTAAACTAGTAAGTAATGGGGAACAAGATGGGGAACAAGAGTTTCTTTAAATGTCAAAAAAAAAGGGAGACCAAAGTGAGCGCAGGTCATTTAGGGAATGTGCCTAGAAAAATAATAATGGGAATCAAGAAATGGCACAGGTGTTGGACAAATACTTTGCATCAGTCTTCAAACACTAATAACATTCCAGAAATGCTAAATAACCAAGGGGCAAGGTGGGATCAGGTTGAGAGGAAATAAATACACTAGTATTACTAGAGAAAAAGTACTGGGGGAAATTAATGGGACTAAAGGCTGATATGTCTCCTGACTTTGATGGACTTTTGAGGATATTAAAGTAAGTAGTTACAGAGATAGTGTAGTAATCTTTCAAGAATACTTAGACTCTGGAAAAGTCACAAAGGAGTGGAAAACAGCCAAGGTAAAATGCTTATTTCAAAAAGTAAAGGAGAAAAAACATGTTTAATTGTAGGCCAGTTAGTTTGACATCTGTTGTTGGTAAAATATTAAACTCCATTATGAAGGATGCACTAGCAGACCATTTAGAAATACAAAACATAGTCAAACAAAGTCAGCATGGCTTCACAAAGGGGAAATCATACCTGATAACAAGCAGGACAGATAAAAGGGAACAAGTAGATGTAATATATTTGGATTTCTAAACCTTTTGTACAAATGTACCAATTTAAATGTTCCCTTTCATTCCTGCAACTCGCAAGTCCATCGATCAGATTTAAGAAGCAAAATCAATTTTATTTGTTTACTTACATTTCCTTTGTTTCTTTCTGTTTTTTAATGTTTTATTTCTCTTCCAGTGCTTCTGTTATGAAGTTGGGTAGAGTAATTGTGAAGTGGAAGGCAGGAAGCTAAAATGTGTGGTTCCTCTTTGAGATTTGTGCTTTGTCTGTACTTAGAAATTTTAAAAAAATGTATGTCTGTGAGCAGCAGCTGAAGTTGCCAGTACAGAGAGCCTCAAGAAGTGAGGTTTTTGATACAAAAAAGTGTATCAAAGAAGCCTTACAGGTGGCAGGCAAAACAGCAGTCTTGTTTTGATGTTGTGACAAGTTTGAATTTGGCCAATTAATTTAAAACCAAACTGAGCAATATAAAGCCAACTGAATTTAAAAACTGATGGTGTCAACAACCTGAAACTAATCATATTATAAGAATTTGATTTTGTCATTACAGGTACATAATCGGTAAGAGCCAACTGCCATCTGAAAGAGAGATCCATCCGCCACCTGCCAGAGTTAGCACCATTCACCTCTCATCTAATTAATCAAAGGTACCACAGTATTTTAGCTCAAAGTCCTCATTAAAGAAATTATAGAGATAAAACATTCCTGACAGCAGAATTAATGGAAGAAAGGCAATTGTGAAGAGCAGAGACTACAGAATATTCGAGAAGACCATCTGTGCGAACTCAGAGAGATTAAGTTATAATTTATTGCTTCTTATTAATTGGGTTTATATTAGTGGGACTTGTCTTTATTTAAACAGCATTCCAGTAGAATTTAGACCAGTTAAGAAGTAGTTATTAGTCTAAGGGGGAATTATTCGGTTCGTTAGTAATTCTGTTAACTTGTTCATTGTTAGGGTTAAACAAATAAATTGTTTCTTGTTATTTGTAAAGTGGAGATCAGGGATTTTCTTTCTTTTAACCATTCTTTTATCAGATTACGAGGGGAAAGGCGAGCTTTTTTTGGGTATTTCGGGGGGGTAATTATTAGAAAGGAACCTCTAATCCCGTCATAGCAGACTGGGGCTGTGATTTGGTAATTATCAAAGGGGTGCGGCTATTCCAGCTCCACAGCACTTAATTTGACTCTAAATCATTCCTCCTTCTGTCATTCATCGGTTTCTTTCGCAATCCTCAAGCCTCACTAATTAAGAAAAGTCTCAGCTGCTCCACTGCCTCATTATGCCATTGTCAGCTGCAGTTCTGGCAAATGATAGCAGACAAGTATTTTGAGCTGTAGGAAAGGAGCTAACAAAGCACATTGCAAAATGCCTTTAACTTTAGTGTAATATAGATACATTTATGTGCGTTGTAAATCACAGGTTCTTACTGAACATTGTTTAAGAAAGAAAAATTTTAATTGCATACATTTAGCATTACATGTTACTCAGTGTTTAATTGTACCTGATGAAGGGGGTGCGCTCCGAAAGCTTGTGATTTCAAATAAACTTGTTGGACTATAACCTGGAGTCATATGGTTTTTGACTTTGTCCACACCAGTCCAGCAGCTTCACATCGTGTTTAACATTATCAGAATTGAAAATATTCAGCAAATAAAATAAGAAGCATCCAATGATCAATTGAACAATATCTCACCGCATAAATGAGCTTGACGCAAAACATCACTACATATTCAAATTAGTTCTAAGATCACCTAAGGATCAGCTCAAATGTGACTGGAAAGGATATCTTGCAGGACTGTCTTTTAGTGCATTTAGAAATCCTGTCTTCTGAGAACCTACATAAAATTGTTCAAATACATGTTAGATTAAAACAAAATTAAAGTTATCTGAATTAAATTTCAGTTCAGAGCAATGAATCTATGATAATCTTGTCAAAGCATAAATATTACAGCAAAATGAATAAGTATTATCAACAAGCTCACATGCTACATCCCATACTCTATGCTATGCTGCAAATATCCTTTCAGACAAGCTACCACTCAGTACAAACACATCCAATCTTTTGTCTCTGTGGGAACGTTGTTTAAATCAACGCTCCTACAAACATGCACATACTTCAAGTCTCTAACAGATAGAAAATTTAGTTTTATGATTTGCTCATAAATGAGGCATTAAAAACAATCCCTTCTGAACAGGTCAAAGCAGCAAATATGAAATGCTTAAACAAATAAATTGAAGGTTCCTGAACTTTCAAGGCCAGGTACCAAGGCTTAGGATGCAGCCCTTAATTAAGGCATTTCTCAAACCTCTTGTCCGGTTTGCAGACTCAAGTTCCAGAACTATAGTTAAAAACTTAACACATTGAGAGTTGAAGAAATCTGCATTCAATAATCAAAAGTGCTGCCATGCAATGGAAACATTGGGTAATGAATGTTAATATGGTGATAAAACTGGCAGTGAAATTCTTATCCAGGTAATTGAAGCAGCAATTTAACCAAATAACATTTCCTGAAAGACTAAAAATTATAGGCAAAAGTGACTACTTTGCTGCGTAAGTTTTCAGGCAGACCAGAAAAAAATGACATCCATTATTATTACAAGTCACAATGTCAGAAATTTTGCAAGTAAAGGAGATCACAGAATTGTTACAACACAGGAGGCAATTTGGCACATTATGTCTGCATTGGTTCTCCATGGGAACAATGTACCCAGCACCACTTTTCTTCTTTATCCCAATAGCCCTGTAGTAATGTTCTTCCTTTTCAGCTAACAAATCAAATTTCCTCTCAGATACCTTGATTGATACCCACCTCTACCACATTTCAGGCAACGCATTCTAGAGTCTAGTCTGTTAAAATTAAAATCACAGTCTATTTGGGTTAAAATTCAAATATAATCACTGAGCAAACAGAGTTAGTCATTGGCCTTTTATTTCCAGGTGTGGGTACAAATCCAGACGTGATTGTTGATTAACTGGCTCCTCTGTGAACTGTGCTTTTGTGAATTGAATTTTGGTTGTTTTACTTCAGTTTGAACACTGCACGTGCCACAGAACAAAATCTTACAATCAAATTGCCTGTATCATTCAAGACGCCCTAGGATGGCTAACGTGAGAAATAAAACAGCTACTCTGAGATGAAGAACTGCAACATTTACAAACAAAATTCATAAAATATGCAGTCACTCAGTACAATCAGAAACAGTTCAAAGATCTTGCTTCAAAGAGCTAAACTTGAATTAACAGATGAGAACAAACATTAAGTTCTCTTGCATTCATGTTAATTTAGGTGTCGAATAGAATTTCTACTATTTTCTTCAATAAAAATTATTAACATGTTATTAGGTTTTAGGAAAAAAGGTAGTATTGATTTTGACTGACAATGTTTCAAAATGAACTGCTGCTTCATTGGAGGAGCAAACTACTGCAGATGTTGGAATCCGAACATAAAACAAAAAATGCTAGAGCGGGTTGGGCAGCATCCATGGAGAGAAAGCTAAATGAGTCTAGATGACGTTTCACCAGAGCTGAAGTGAAATGTAGAGGGGGCAGCAACTAAGGAGTTGGGGATGGGGGTTGAAGTGCTGCAGGAGAAAGGCTCTTAATAGTTCACATTCAGTTATCAGAATGTGAGAATGGCAAAACAATGGTGTGTCTAACTGCCAGACTGGAAAGAACAGATAGCTCTGCTGCGGTCGGGAAGGGGAGAGTTGGTGACAGAGAACATAATGTTTAAAAAAAGGGTAGGAACAAGTTCACAATTTGAAGACGTTGAACTCAATATTGAGACCAGAAGGTTGTAAACTGCCTAGTTTGAAGATGAGATGTTGCTCCTCCAGTTTGCGCTGTGCTTCACTGGAGCATTGCAGCATGGCAAGGATAGACAAGTGGGCATGCGAGCAAGACATTGTGTTAAAATGACTGCTTACCAGGAAGGCCAGGGTCATGCCTGCGAACAGACCAGAGGTGTCTTGCAAAGCGGTCACCTAGTCTGGGTTTAGTTTCCCCAGTGTAGAGTAGGCCACATTGGGTGCAGTGAATACAAACACAAGATTGGAGGAGGTACAGGTGAAATGCTGCTTCACCTGGAAACTGTTTAGGTCCTTGGATGGTGAGCAGGGAGGAGGTGAAGGGGCAAGTGTTGCACCGTCTACGGTTACACTGGAAGGTGCCGTGGGAAGTGGGTGGTGTTGATGGTCAAGGAATGGACTAGGGTGTCCTGGACCGAACAATCCCTGCGAAATGCAGACGGCGGAGTGAGGGGAAGACGTATTTGATGGTGGCATTCTGCTAGAGTTGTCTGAAATGGTGGAGAATAATCCTTTGAATGTGAAGGCTGGTGGGGTGAAAAGTAGGAACAAGAGGGACTCGCTCACGCTGTTGTGAGTGATGGGAAGGCGCAAGGGTGGAAGCACGGGTGATAGGTCGGATGTGTTTGAGGGTTCTGTCAACTACAGTGGGCAGAAAACCACGGTCATAGAAGAAGTAAGCCATGTCAGCAGCACTGATTTGGAAGGTGACGTCGTCCAAACAGATACCACGTAAGCGAAGGAACTGGGAGAATGGGATGGAATCCTTGCAGGATGTGGGGTGGGAAGAGCTTTGGTCAAGGTAGCTTGGGAGTCAGTGGCTTTGTAGTGGACAGCAGTGGACAGATTATTCCCTGAAATGGAGACAGAGAGGTCAACAAAAGGAAAGGAAGTGTCGGAAATGGGCGATGTGAAAGTGAAAGAGGGGTGGAAATTGGAAGCAAAATGAACAAATTTTTCAAGGTCCGGGCAGGAGCATGTTCCACATACCCCATTAAGAGGCAGGCATAACTAGGACCCAAGTAGGTGCCCATAGCCACTCCTTTGATGTGGCGGAAGTGAGATGAATTAAAGGAGAAATTGTTCAATGAGAGAACAAGTTCAGCCAAGCGGAGGAGAGTGGTGGTGGATGGGGATTGTTCAGGTCCAGGGTAAGGTAGGAAGAACTGTTCGAGATTTGGTGCTGAGCCTCTGCGAGGTAAAGATCAGTATGCCAGACTGCCATGGCACCACCCTGGTTGGTGGGTTTGACAAAAAAGTAAGGCTTTGACCTGAGAGATTGAAGTGCCGCAATTTCAGAAAGGGATAGGTTAGAATGAGTGAGAGGAGCAGCGAATTTGAAATGGCCAATGTCACGTCAGTAGGCTTCAATGAAGGGTTTGAGGCAGGTAAGAGGCCAAGGTGTTTGCCAAAAATTGCTTTCACAGCCAGGTTTCCTTTCTCTGCGAATGCCAACAACTCAGACTTACTCCACATGGATTTCAACTCAAGTTTCAACCTTTGTGTGCTGTAATCCCAGGTGGATTCAAGTAATCTCCAGGACATACAACATTCCTCAGACTGCTGTTCCAGCCTCATCCTATGATCCACAATCAATGCCATGTGCTGTCATATGTGCACACTTGACTCCACTCTACAGCAACACTGAGTCACCCTCTCTCCAAGCTGTGCTGTTCCCCAGTTTCATTTCATCCTTCATCTCATCTGTTGCCATAAGAAAAGACTTTTTACCTTTCTTTCAGGCATCAAGGCATACAAGCTTCAGCAACTTGTGGACTCCAACACTCGTCCTGCACTGCCGTCTCTTTTCCAACTCATGGATCCCATCCCCACCCATCACTCAAAACCGATCCCTTATTATCCCTTAGCACCCACCCCTTGCCAGCCCTCAGATGTCACCCCCTTCTGTCCTCTAGAGGTCACTCCCCCCAAACCCCAGCACTTGTTGTGTTTTCACCATACCTCCTGACCTTCCCCTCACTGAGGCTGAATGTACTGGCCTTGGCAAAAGACTCAGCTTCGTAGCCCTACGCCCCCACCTTAATGAATTTTGGGTTTATCATCACATCAAACTGTTTTTCTGCTGCTTTCGTCTCCGCGCTCACTTCTTTAGGCAGAACTCACACCCCCTCCCTCCACCAGTTAGATTGATCCCTTCACCCGCCTGCAGTATTCATCCTCCATTTGGACCTGTTCCCCTGGTCTCTTACCTACCCTCAATCTCTTCACTGAAAACTGCCAGTGTGACACTGGCCAATTCAATTTCGCTGCTCCTCTCATTCACTCTAACTTGTCCCCTTCTGAAATTGCTGAACTTTGCTCCCTCAGGTCCAAGTCTAACTTTATTATCAAAGGTAGTGCTGTTGTAGTCTGGCACACTGATTTTTACCTTGCAGAGGCTCAACACCAACTCTTGGACTCTTCTTCCTGCTTTCCCCTGGAACACGACCAAACATCCGAACATCAAGCCATTGTTGCCAGGTCTGTCACCAACCTCATTACCTCTGGAGATCTTCCCCCACTTGCCTCCAATCACACAGCCTCCCAACCCCAGACAGTCCACTTCTATATCCTTCCCAAAATTCACAAACCAGACCGCCCCAGTCGGCCCATCGTATCAGCCTGCTCCTGCTCCACTGAGCTCATTTCCTCCTACCTTAACTCCATCCTCTCTCCACTTGTCCAGACCCTGCCCACCTACATCCAGAATTCAAACCAAAAGAACTGCGGATGCTGTAAATCAGGAACAAAAAAAAAGTTGCTGGAAAAGCTCAGCAGGTCTGGCAGCATCTGTAGAGGAGAAAACAGAGGTAACGCTTCGGGTCCGGTGACCCTTCCTCAGAACTTCTGAGAAAGGGTCACCGGACCCGAAATGTTAACTCTGTTTTCTCCTCCATAGATGCTGCCAGACCTTCTGAGCTTTTCCAGCAACTTTGTTTTTGTTACATCCAGAATTCCTCTGATGCCCTCCACCATATTGACAATTTCTAGTTCCCTGATCCTAAATGCCTCCTATTCACCACTGCTGTCCAATCACTCTATACATCCATTCCCCACCAGGATGGTCTGAGAGCTCTCGGCCTCCTCCTCGACCAGGTTGCTCAACAATCCCTATCCACCACCCCTCCACTCCGCTTGGCTGAACTTGTTCTCAGTCTGAACAATTTCTCCTTTAATTTATCTCACTTCTTCCACGTCGAAGGAGTGGCTATGGGCACCCAGTTATGCCTGCCACTTAATGGGGTATGTGGAACAATCCTTGTTCCAGTCCTACAGTGGCCCCCTCCAACAACTCTGTTTCTTTGGTACATCAATGACTGTTTCGGTGTCGCTTCAAGCTCTCGCCTGGACCTTGAAAAATTTGTTCACTTTGCCTCCAATTTCCACCCTCTATAACTTTCACATCGTCCATTTCCAATGCATCCCTTCCTTTCATTGACCTCGCTGTCTCCATTTCAGGGAATAAACTGTCCACTACCATCCACTACAAAGCTACTGACTCCCAAGCTACCTTGACTACAGCTCTTCCCACCCCATGTCCTGCAAGGATTCCATCCCATTCTCCCAGTTCCTTCACCTAAGCCATATCTGTTCGGACAATGCCACCTTCTAAAACAGTGCTGCTGACATCGCTTCCTTCTTCTATGATTGCCGTTTCCCACCCATTGTGGTTGACAGGGCCCTCAACCACATCCAACCTATCACCTGTACTTCCACCCTTGCCCCTTCCCATCACTCACAACAGCATGAGTGAGTCCCCAGTGTTCTCACTTTTCATTCCACCAGCACCCCCCTTCAAAGGATCATTTTCCATCATTTCAGACAACTCCAGTAGAACGCCACCAACAAACACATCTTCCCTTCACTCTCTATGTCTGCAGTTTGCAGAGATTGTTTGGTCCAGGACACCCTAGTCAATTCCTTGACCACCAAGACCACCCCTACTTTCCACGGCACTTTCCCATGTAACCGTAGAAGGTGCAACACTTGCCCCTTCACCTCCTCCCTGCTCACCATCCAAGGACCTAAACAGTCTTTCCAGGTGAAGCAGCATTTCACCTGTACCTCCTCCAATCTTGTGTATTGTAGTCACTGCACCAATATGGTCTACTCTACACTGGGGAAACTAAACCCAGACTGGGTGACTGCTTTGCAAGACACCTATTCGCAAGCATGACCTCAACCTTCCTGGTAGCCAGTCATTTTAACACAGCGTCTTGCTCGCTTGCCCACTTGTCTGTCCTTGCCATGCTGCCATGCTGCAATGCTCCACCCTGGAGCACAAACTGGAGCAGCATCTCATCTTCAAACTAGGCAGATTACAACCTTCTGGGCTCAATATTAAGTTCAACATCTTCAAATTGTGAGCCCATTCCTTCCCTCTCTTTTAACTTTGCTTGTTACATTCTCTGTCACCCTCTCTCCCCACCTCCCCATCCCAGTAGGACTGTCTGTTCTTGCCAGTCTGGCAGTTGGACACACCATTGTTCTGCCATTCTCACATTCCGATAACTGAATCTGAACTATCAACATCTTTTCTCCCACAGCACTCCAACATCCATCACCCTCCCCACCTAAATATTGCACAAATGCTGCCCTCTCCACACCTCAATACCGCTCTGATGAAGAGTCATCTAGACTCGAAACGTTAGCTTGCTTTCTGTCTATGGATGCCGCTTGACCCGCTGTGATCTCAGCATGTTTTGTTTTCAGTAATTCTTCAATGGGTTCGATGAACTTGTGATTAAGTAAATAGCTTTTCATTTATATTTACATTGCTGATCTTCTGACCTGAAACCTAAGAGTATTCAAGGTACATAGGTGCACAAATCATTCTAAATTGATTCTGACTGCAGTCAGTTTTCAGCGAATCATGAAATTGCATAACTAACTTCATTTTAGAATACAAAGTCATAAATAAGATCACACTAAGTTTCTGCAGCAAACACTCTGAACTAAAACAGTACTTACGGAGAATGACATGTGTGATGACGAAAGCGAAGATGAAGACTGTCAGAAATGACAGTGACAAAATAAACATGTAAAAAAATCTGTAGTTCCTTTTTCCCACACAGTTGCCTACCCAGGGACAGTGGTGATCAAATCGCTCTGAAGGAGGAAAAACATTATTGGATCAGGTTATGAACCATCTTTTCAGAGAGTTTGGTTTATTGTAAAAAATTTACATAGTTTCTATTTTTAACCTGGGACAGTCTGTTTATCATTCAACTAAATTCCATTCCATTCCATTCCCTCTATAGTAACCAGAAACAATCAAGATTGTCTTGTTGATATTATAATATGCTACTTTCATTCTTAATTTAGCTTACCATCAAAAAAGAATCTTGGAGAAAGTATTGATCTTTTAATAAGCTTGTCTAAGACAAACATATTCTTGTATTAAAAACACAAAAACTTAATGACATTCAAGATAAAAAAAACCAGACCAAGTTTAAAGCACCCAATGAAAATAATGTAATGATAAAATTAAAATGAGACAATAGGGGAGAACTATTACGTTGTTTACTTTTAAGTACCTTCACATTCTCTGGCATGATTAATAATATAGTTTACATATTTCTGCGATAGCTCTTGATTTCTGAATTTCGATATACAGACATAGAGTCATGGAATTATACACCATGGAAACAGACCCTCCAACTGGGCCACGCCGACCAGATATCCTAAACTGATCTAATCCCATTTCCCAAAATCCTTCCTATTCATGTACACATCTAGATGCCTTTTAAATGTTGGAATTGTACTCGCTTCTACGACCTCCTCTGACAGTTCATTCCATACATGCACCATCCTCTGCGTGTAAATGATGCTCCTCAGGTCCCTTTTAAATTTTTCCCTCTCATCTTAAACCTATGCCATCTAGTTTTGGGCTGCCTTACCCTGGGCAACAGACCTTGGCTATTCACCATATCCTATTCATGACATTATAAACCTCTATAAGGTCACCCCTCAGCCTCTGACACTCCAGGGAAAGAAGACACAGCATATTCAGCCTCTCCCTACAGCTCAAACCCTCCAATCTCAGCAATATCCTAGTAAATCTTTTCTGAACCTTTTGAAGCTTACAACATCTTTCCTACAGCAGGGATACCACAATTGAACACAATATTCTAAAAGTAGCCTCACCAATGTCCTTTATAGCCACAATATGACCTCCCAACTCCTATACTCAATGCACTGACCAATGAAGGCGAGATTGCCAAACGCCTTCTTCACCTCTGTGTCTACCTGTGACTCCATTTTCAAGGAACTATTATCCTACACCCCAAGATCTCTTAGTTCGGCAACACTCCCCCCAGCCCTACCATTAACTATACAAGTCCTGCCCTAGTTACCCTTGACAAAATGCAGCATCGCTCATATATCTGAATTAAACTCCACCTGCCAATCCTCGGCCCATTTGCCCATCTGATCAAGATCCAGTTGTGTTCTGAGGCAACCTTCTTTACTGTCCACTACACCACCAATTTTGGTGTCATCTTCAAATTTAGTAACAATATCTCCTACATTCACATCCAAATCAATTATAAAAGCAACAAAAAGCAGTGGACCCAGCACCGATCCTTGCGGCACACCGCTGGTCACAGGCCTCCAGTCCGAAAAACAACCCTCTGCCACCTCCTCTGTTTTCGACCTTCAAGCCAATTTTGTACCCAACTAGCTAGCTCTGCCTGTATTCCATGTGATCTATCCTTGCTAACCAGTCTATCATATTTGCCCCTAAACTGCACATTATACTAATCGAGTTAACATATATCCCAGAATATCTACAATGGACATATGCAGGCTCAATTTTTGCTTAATGCAAATGGCAGATAATCTTCTATGTATTTGAGAGACTTGGCTGTACTTCCTACATCACCAAAGTCACCACACTCAAACATACAGGTAATTGATTGTAAAGTGCATTGGGACATCTTGAGGTCATGAATTGTTCTACATAAATGTTTTGGGCTAGTGGCTCAGTGGTTGTGTCCCTACCTCTGGGCCAGAAGGTGTGGGTCCAAGTCCCACCCGCTCCAGATGTGCCATAACATGTCTGATTAACAACACAATAAAACAAAGAACTGCAGATGCCGAAGTTCTGAAAGTTTGAAAACAAATTGCTGGAGAAACCCTGCAGGTCTGGCAGCATCTGTGGAGAGAAAACAGAGTTGACATTTCGACTCGAAATGTTAAATCTGCTTTCATTCCACTTAGATGTTAGATTTGTCCCACAAATCTAACCTCTAAGCCCCCTGGAGAGGTTCTTATGCATCACTGGATGGAGTTAAGAAAACTGGCAGCATTTAATGCAGGTGAAGATGCCCAGGATGGTGTTTAGTGACAATCTTAAGCCATTTGCACGATAGAAATGTGGAGTTTGCTTAGGGAGCAGTTGCTGCAGGTACTGGGTAGGTTTGTCCCACTGAGGCAAGGAAAGGATGGTAAGGTGAAGGAACCTTGGATGACAAGACATGTTGAACACCTAGTCAAGAGGAAGAAGGAAGCTTACTTAAGGTTGAGGAAGCAAGGATTGGACAGGGCTCTAGAGGTCTACACGGTAGCCAGGAAGGATTGGACTTAGGAGAGCTAGAAGGAGGTATGAGAAAACCTTGGTGGGTAGGATCAAGGAAAACCCCAAGGCTTTCTATACTTATGTGAGGAACAAGAGGATGGCCAGAGTGAGGGTAAGGCCAATCAGGGACAGTGGAGGGAACTTGTGTGTGGAGTCAGAGGTGGTAGGGGAGGTCCTTAATGAATACTTCCCTTCAGGATTCACCAGTGAGAGGGACCTTGACGTTTGTGAGGACAGCAACTGGAGGGCAAGTCTTATGAGGAAAGGTTGAGGGAGCTAGGGCTTTTTTCATTGGAGCGAAGAAGGATGAGAGGTGATTTGATAGAGGTTCACAAGAAGACGACAGGCACAGATAGAGTGGATAGTCAGAGACTTTTTCCCAGGGCGGAAATTACTATTACAAGGGGGCACCATTTTAAGGTGATTGGAGGAAGGCATAGGGGAGATGTCAGAGGTAGGTTCTTTACACAGAGAGTGGTGGGTGTGTGGAGTGCACTGCCAGCAGTGGTGGTGTAGTCAGATACTTTACAGACTTTTAAGCGACTCTTGGATAGGCACATGGAGGACTGTAAAATGTAGGGTATGCAGGGTAGATTGATCTTAGTAGGATAATAGATCGTGGGCCGAAGGGCCTGTACTATGCTGTACTGTTCTATGTTCTATGTATTTTTACCTTCTTCATCACCCTCATCCTGAAACATGGTAGCATGAAAGCAGAAGACGGTGTGGTCATGAGCTATCACCTTCCTCATCCCAACATTACCTTCTGGCGTGTACGCTTTCAGATACAGAAGAACTGGCATTTGGCCAATTTAAGCAGAAGGAAAAGAAAGAGGAACAGCTACCACAAAAGTGATGCATACGCACAGTCACCTCATCTCACACTTCCAGTAACCATCTCCAACTAGATGCAATACACAACAATGATCAGGACGTGGTCAGTCACACTTAGAAGTGCTACAGCCAGGGTGGGCTAAGAGTCGTAGAGTCAGAGAGTCACAGAGCTGTACAGCATGGAAACAGACGCTTCGGTCCAACTCGCTCATGCGGACCAGATATCCAAAATTAATCCAGTTCCATTTGCCAACGTTTGGCCAGTAGCCCTCTAACCTTTCCTATTCATATACCCATCCAGATACCTTTTAAATGTTGCAACTATACCAGCCTCCACCACTTCCTCTGGCAGCTCATTCCAAACACGCACCACCCAATGCATGAAAAAGTTTCCCCTTAGGTCCCTCTTAAATCTTTCCGCTCTCACCTTAAACCTATGTCCTCTAGTTCTGGACTCCCCCACCTCAGGGTAAAGACCTTGCCTATTCACCCTTTCCATGCCCCTCATGATTTTATAAACCTCTATAATGTCAGCCCTCAGCCTCCGACATTCTAGGGACAATAGCCCCAGCCTATTCAGTCTCTCTCTAATGCTCAAACCCTCCAACCCTGGCAAAATCCTCGTAAATCTTTTCTGAACCCTTTCAAGTTTCACACTATAGCAGGGAGACCGGAATTGCACACAGTATTCCAAAAGTGGCCTAACCAATGTCCTGTACAGCCACAAAATAACCTCTCAGCTCCTATACTCTGCACTGACCAATGAAGGCAAGCATACCAAATGCCTTCTTCACTATCCTATCTACCTGCGATTCCACTTTCAAGGAACTATAAACCTAGACTCCAAGGTCTTTTTGTTCAGCAACACTCCCCAGGACCTTAACATTTAATGTATAAGACCTGCCTTGATTTGTCGTTCCAAAATGCAGCACCTCACAATTATCTAAATTAAACTCCATCTGCCACCTATTGGCCCATTTGATCAAGATCTTATTGTACTCTAAGGTAACCTTCTTGGCTGTCCACTACACCTCCAATTTTGGTGTCATCTGCAAACTTACTAAACATACCTCCTGTATTAACATCCAAGTCATTTATGTAAATAACAAAAAGCAGCAGACCCAGTACCAAAGATAGTAGGAACTGCAGATGCTGGAGAATCTGAGATAACAAGGTGTAGAGCTGGATGAACACAGCAGGCCAAGCAGCATCAGAGGAGCAGGAAGGCTGACGTTTTGGGCTTGGACCCTTCTTCAATTTTTCTGAAGAAGGGTGTAGGCCCGAAACGTCAGCCTTCCTGCTCCTCTGATGCTGCTTGGCCTGCTGGGGACCCAGTACCAATCTTTGTGGCACACTGCTGGTCACAGGTCTCCAATCTAAAAAGCAACTCTCCACCAACACCCTCTGTCTTCTACCTTCAAGCTAATTCTGTATCCAAATGGCTAGTTCTCCCTGTATTCCATGTGATGTAACCTTGCTAACCATTCTACCATGAGGAACATCTAACTGAAGTCCATATAGATCACGTCCACTGCTCTGCCCTCATCAATCTGCTTTGTTACTTCTTCAAGAAACTCAATGGAGTTAATGAGACATGATTTCCCTTGCACAAAACCATGTTGACTATCCTGACTCAGTCCTTGCCTTTCCAAATACATGTAAATCCTGTCCCTCAGGATTCTCTCCAACAACCTGC